ACCAACTGTGATGTCGTTCCTCCACATCTTCTTAAGGTTGTTACTACTGTTGGTCTTTTTATCCTTAATGTCATTAATGGTAATTTGACCTCCAGCCATTTTAAACATGCTGTGGTGCAACCCGTGTTGAAGAAACCTGACATTGACCCTTCTGCTTTGTCTAACTTTGGCTTTTTTCCCCCAAAATCTTGGGAAAGATCGTTTACACCCAGCTGAAAGCCTTCCTGGATGAATGTAAAATTTTGGATTTAAAACAAACCACAGCAGTGAATCTGCTCTTTTAAGGGTTTTTAATAACATATTTTTAGCAATGTTTTCTGGGAACAGAGTTTTCCTTGTCTTTTAAATTTACAGCTGATGACCATAACATTCTCATCTCCAGACTGGAGCAGTGGGTTCAGTTCTGCAATGGTTTAGGTCTGACCTCTATGAGGAGTTTTGTTCATGATGGACGATACTCTTGTTTCCTGGTTCTGGGTCATTCATTGCCTACTGTCTTGATTTCGCCACTGTGCTAGTTAGAAAGCATTGTGTTTCTTTATGCATGACGAGTATCCACCGGTCTCTCAGATAACAACTCCCAAAAAATCTTCCCTGGGGGTTCCTCGGGGTTCCATTCATTGTCCTCTACTGTTCTCTCTGTATTTGCTGCCACTTGGTGCTAGTTTTAGAAAGCATTGTGTTTCATTTATATGCTAATGACCAGAGATGGGCAGTAACGCGTTACTTGTAACGCGTTACTGTAATCTGATTACTTTTTTCAAGTAACGAGTAAAGTAAGGGATTACTATTGCAAAAACGGTAATTAGATTACCGTTACTTTCCCGTAGGAACGCTGCGTTACTGCGTTACTAAAACCGTGATTTTTTGCGAGAATGTCTCATGACAGTGACGTAAGCGAGTGCGACGTTCGTGACAACAGCTGTGTGCAGATCAACAATGGATCAATATCGAGTGGCGAGAGAGTATGAGCGTGCAGCGTTTAAAGCGTGGAAGTACTGACCTTACTTTGAGTTTGATTCCATAAAAAGTGACAAAAACATTAGGTCCGCTGTGCGTGGGAAGAAAACTTCTTTTTACAGCGAAAAAAACCCCTAAACTTCCAGAACAAGCACCGAGTAGCTACGACGTAATGGGAAACTCACAGAGAAACTCGCGGATTCTTCCACTGACCGCGGCACACCTGCACCAGGGTAACCCTCCGCCTACCCCACTCCTGCTTTACAGGTGAAAATAGAGCAACAGGACCGCTGAGTCTTTGACTTTATTTATTTTCTGCTGTGTTTTACTTGCATCTATTTGAAAGACTGAGTGTAAACACAAAAAATATTTTATTTTATGTGCTGGAATGTGCAGAAAATAGGTTTAAATGTTAAACTAATTTCTTCCAGTCAGAGAATGTTGCAGATAATTAAATGTTTGCTTGATGCATAAAGTTAAAAGATTAAAACTAATAAAACAAGTTTTAAAAAGAGACTTTTCCATTTGATTACATTTTGTATGATGGATTATGCAGAAAAAGTAGAATTGGGCTGAAAGATCTATCGCTTTATCACCTCTTCAGGTTGTAAATCGTGTTTTTAAAAAGTAACTAAGTAACTAAGTAATTAATTACTTTTGAAAATAAGTAATCAGTAAAGTAACGGGATTACTTTTTTGGGGAAGTAATCAGTAATTAGTTACTGATTACTTTTTTCAAGTAACTTGACCAACACTGCTAATGCCTGTCAAGTCTATTTCCCTTTCAAACACAGTGGTTCTCTTCAGCCTCTCCTTGATTATCTCAATGACATCAGGGGGTGGATGGCACTGAATTTTCTTAATTTTAATGAAAAAAAGGCCGAGGTCATGCTTTTTAACTCCAGTGCCTCCAGCTGTATCCCTGCCTTTGACCTTTCCTCTTTGGCCCCACAGGAAAAATCCAGAATCACCAATTTAGTTGTGAAAATGGAAAGCAGCCTAAAACCTGACTGGCATGTCAATGCTGTGGTTAAGTCCTCCATCTTTCAGTTGAGACGGCTGTAAAGATTAAGCCATCCTGTCTAGATGCCACCTAGAGACAATACTGCATGATTTTAACAAGAACAAGAGCACATAACCATGGTTTTAGTGTTCCTTCACTGGTTCACCGTTCAGTTTTAAATCCATTTTAACATTCCTTTATTTCTTTTTAAGCACTGATTAGCAGGTGTGTGTCTGTGTGCATGATTCCTGGCTCATATCTTGTGTGTGTTGTGGAGTGAATGTTCTTGTTGTTCCTTCAAACTCTTCACTCAACACGGTGATTCTGTGATTATCTCAACAAAGCAGACAGGCAGCAGCATCTGCTGCAGACTGATGCAGGTGCAGCCACACTATGTTAGACAGTGGCCGTCTGTCATTGTGCGACTAGTTAGTTCACTTGGTGTATTAAGCAGGTAGCTAACAAGCTAATGTTAGCTCCATTCATCTGCTGGGAATAATAAAAACTTCATTGATAAAATGCTTTAAACTTTAAATCAGTTTCCTGTTTTGTTTGTAACCAGATATTTTAGTCACTTTGGAAAAAGAGCATCTCCAGGCTAATTGTTCAAGTAAGAAATATTTCAAAACAAATATAAATAAATATTCATGAACTAACTTTGCAGTCATTTTTCCTTTTTTATTCCTGTTTTATTTTTATTTTATTATAATTATGTTTGTTCTCAACATGCAGCAAAAATAATTCAACTACAGCAAGAAATCAAGTTGCTAAAGGAGAAGATCAAAGGTAACAAGCTGTTAAAAACTAAAAATCTTTATTACACAACAAAAACTATGAGCAGTAAATAAATACCGCCTTTAAAACGTGTTTGACTTTAAGAGAAGTGTCCCGATCGATGGACGAGATTTGGAAGCAGCTGTTACTTTAAATCCACTGAGAAGAAAACTTGGTCTGAGCAGGAGAGCCTGTCAGGATAAAGGAGCTGATCTGGTGATGATAAACAGCAAAGAGGAACAGGTGGGTGTGTTTGTTCATGTCTGTGTGATCTTTGATGGAGCTGACAGTCATCTGTTACTTGTGTCTTTGACCTGCTGTCAGTCTGTGACCTGCTTCCTGTCTCCACTCCGATGGATTTCTTTGGTTCTCCTTTTATGTTAGAGACATTCACATTCAAATGCAAAGTTTTTACACATTTTTGAAGCAAAAATTTAAATTACACAGAAATGTTCCAAAATAAAAGCAATCCTCATAATCCTGGCTAAGTTTCTTATTTAATAAAACCAAAGAAAATATAATATTAACAGTGATCCCACTGCAACAGTAACTGAGCTACAAATTGAAATTTAATTTGTCACACACACAACCATACACAGTACGGCATGTGGTGAAATGCTTATTGCTGTGCAATGCCCGACCATTAAATGACAACAAGAATTGACAGTCAGATTTACAGATTACTGCAAAATTTAAAGATTTTAAGTTAGGAATTCACAGTAAAAGAATGTGCAAATAATGATTTACAAAAGACATTATGAATAAAAATAAATAATAAATTATAAGAAGTGTGCAAATAAACAGAGTGCTGTGGTGATGTATTGTGTTTTAGAGAGTCCAGTCCTACACCTGGTTCAGGGCCCGAATAGCCTGGGAGAAGAAGCTCTTCTTCATTCTCTCTGTTTTGGCCTTAAGGGAGCAGAAGTGCTTCTTAGACCTCAACTCAAAGAGTCCATTGTTGGGATGGGAGAGGTCCATCATAATCTTCCTGGCTTTGGTCTTGCACCGCTTGGTGTAGATGGACAACAGGTCAGGGAGCTCTGATTGAATGATGCGTTCGGCCGAGCGCACCACCCTTTGCAGATCTCGTCTGTCCTGCTTGGTGCTGTTCCCAAACCAGGTGCAGATGTTTGCCGTCAGGACGCTCTCGATGGTGCAGGAGTAAAAGTTCTTGAGCACCTTCAGTGGCAGATGGAAGTCTCTAAGTCTTCTGGGGAAAAAGAGATGCTGGCATTAACACCAGAGTGTTAATGTGACAGGACGATGACGGGTCCCAAGTGATCAACTTTTCAACTTGATGAAAAGCTTAGAGGGAATTATTGTGTTGAATGCTGAACTGTAGTCCATGAACAGCATCCTAACACAATTCCCTCTTCCAGTGTCCAGGTGACTCAGGGATGTGTGGAGCAGATGAGATATGGCATCATCTGTGGAACAATTAGTCCGGTATGCAAACTGAAGTGAGTCGATGGTGGCAGGAAGTGAAGAAGTGATGTGATCTCTCACCAGTCTTTCAAAAGACTTCATCACAAGTGAAGTGAAGTCAGTGCTACTGGGCGGTAGTCATTGTGGCAAGTGGACTGTTGTTTCTTTGGGACAGTGACAATGATGGAGTCTTTGAAGCTCGTGGGAACCACTGCTTGGGCCAGGGAGAGGTTGAAAATGAACATGAACACCAGTGCTAGCAGGTCAACTCAGGCTCTCAGGACCCGACCAGGGACGGCATCTGAACCTGCAGCCTTCCTGGTGTTCACTCTCCTGATAACTTTCCTCACGGCATGCTCTGTGATGATGAAAGCGTTAACTTCACTGGCGCACCCTGTGCGCACGCAATTTGTTGTTTTAATTGCTGCAGCGTCGAAGCGTGCATAAAATGTGTTCAGCTCAACAGCCAGTGAAACATCGGCATTCATCATAGCATCTTTATTTATAGCAGCGCTTTACATCCAACAATGTTGGCCAAAGTGCTACGAATAGAAAACAAAGAGAAAACAGTTTAAATTATAGAATATCTTAAAAAAGCAATATAATTAATAAGAAACATATTAAGAGACATCAACAAGTCATCATTGAAGAAGCTGGTTGTTTAAAGTCCATTATTGTCTGCAGTCTCTGGTGTAGCTGCGACTCTAGTTTCCTGTAGCTCTGCTCTGCCTTTCTGATCGCGCTGCTCACGTTTTAAGACACAGCTTGTATTGCATATTACCGGAGACGAGCCTGTCTTTGTAGGCAGCGGTGTGTGATTGCAGATGTTTTTATCCACCCACGGCTTCTGGTTGGGAAATGTTCGAATGATAGATCCCAAATCTGCTTCTGTAAACATGTTGATGAAACATGTCCCAGTCTGCGTCATCCAGACCGTCATCCAGAGCGTCCTGCAGCACGGCCACTGAGTGGTCTGTCTAGTGTGCAAACTCCCTCCTAATTGGTGCTTGCTGCTTTAGCCTTTGTTTGTAAAAAGGCATAAGGAAGATGGGGGCATGGTCTGATTTTCCAAATGCCGGCAGAGGCTGAGCTTTGTAGAAGTCCTTGAACGGAGTGTAGCAGCGATCTAATGTCCTACTGTCCCTGGTGAAGTGCATCCTGGTGAAGTGCTTGTTGTTGTGTGAGAGTCCGTGTCTGCGTGATGAGGGATATAAAACGCGCAGGCAATGACCACAGGGAATTCCGGAGGGAGATAGAAAGGGCGACATTTAATGCAAAAGCGTGTGAGTGGGGAAATTCTTTGGCTCTTTCTGATTTCTGCACAATGGAAGAAAAGTTTCATCACAGTTATTCTTCCTTCAGACATGTTCACAAGATGATGTCACTACAACAGAAGTGCTGAATTATGACTGGAGACAATATTTGTGTCTCTTCTCAAACAGGAATTTGTCAGTAAATTTGGAGGAGAGTCCTGGATTGGTCTGGAAGCTAAAGACATCAGGAGGATATAAATGGGAATGGGTGGACGGATCAGCGCTGACAGAAAGGTGAGACATTAGTTTGTTTCTATTCCAGAGTTATTATTTAGAAGTGAAACATGGATGTTTTGGAAGATAGATCAGCAATACATGAGCTGAGCTATTTTCCAACAGCCCCACAAACTGAATGTAAAGAAAAGCAGAAATCCTCCTTTGAATGAACAGCTGTGCTTGAACTCTCTTCATCTGCAGTCTGTGATGACGTTCAGTTACAACAAGTCAGTTTGAAGGAATCAGGATTGAAAAAAGTTTACTCCAGCTTAATATCATATTTTATTTCTCTGACAGGTTGTGGGCACCAGCACAGCAGAGTACGAGTTATGATTCCTATGGAGTCTGCTGTGATGATAAAGGGAACTTGAAACAGGCAGTTGAACATTATGTTGGTTACAGCTCGAAGACCTTCATCTGTGAGAAATGAGTTTGGTGCTTTGATGTAAATGTGTGAATAATCCAACCAAAGACACCTCACTATGAAATGTCCTGCATGAGCCTCAGACTCAGCTTACAGTCTTTACTTGTTCATTCTGCATCATATATTGATTACATATATTGTCCCTCTGTGCTCTGTGCTGTACAGTAAGGTTGGAAGTCATCCACACAAAACCTTGAAGTACTGCATTACTCTGTAGTTCCAGCAAATTGTTCTAATAAAAGTCAAAGTGCAGCTCGTCTTTACTTTGCTTTACTTGGTTTATTCATCAGTCTGTTGGTCCTAAAACTTCAGTAAACGTCTTCTTCAGTTTCTCTCAAACAGCTGAAAGTTGCTGCTTCTTACTTTTAGCTACAAATGGGGGATTTTGACAGGAGATTGAAATGAAGAAGAAAAGCAGATTTAACAATTTTCAAATGTGCGAATAAGTTATCAATTCTCTTTTATGCTGCACTTGTAAAGTAAGGATAGAGAAGTTGGGGCTAAATGGGATGTTGAATTGTTGACTCAAGGAAACAGAGTTTATGTAGCTGAATGTAACCAGGTTCTTTCTCTCAATGTATTTTAGTTGTCCAACTTTAACCTGACATTGTCAGAGCTAAATGTATTAAAGGACTCCTGTTATTCATGTTTTTGATCTGCTGTGTGCTTTATTTCCTGACTTCATTCTGATGGATCATTTCTAAATATGGATCTATTTTTGTACTCTGAATTTTAATGTTTTTCCTTTTGTTTTCTAGATTATTGTATACTAGCAATCCACAAATGTCTCATTTCTAAAGCAAGAAGAAAATGTTTAAGAATGATATATATTCTGATCTAATATTAGAAGCCTTGAATAGGTAGAGGAGGATACAGAGGTAGGCTCATCTTCTTCAGTCCACAGTGCCAAGAGGGAGACAGGTGAGGTGTGGCTGACCACAGTGATGAAGAGGGGCTCGTCTGTGGCTGCAGCGTTCTTCTTCCAAGTTACTCCTCCGAGTAAGTTTTCCTCAGATGATCTTCCAGGTCTTTTATGGGCATGAGGCACCAGCTCTTCTCTTTGAAAAAAAATTCCCTTAACAAAGTAGTGTGGGCTGCTTCAGAAAAGGGTCCTTGTCCGTTCTTTCTTCTTATGTTGTCGTCTGAGGTGTTCTGCTCTTCGCAGCTTACTAAGTTGTTGCTTTATTTCCTCCTGCAGGGCAGTAAGTCCCTCCCTTTCTGTCTCATTGGCCCTTCTCCACTGTTTCCTCAGTTGTCTTCTCTCTTTCACTAATCTGTCAATTTCCCGCCGTCTCCTGGACTTTAACTGGTTTAAATGGCCTTTCTGCTGTCTCTGAGTCTTGTTTTTTACACCAAACACAATATTACATGTATAATGTGCACTAACAAAACTGCTAAAAATAACAACAACTCAAACATAATGTACAGGACATATACTGTTTATCTATTAATTAAATTTTGCATTTTCTAACCAGCCTGTACTCTCATGTAATACCACTTTGTACCACAAGAGGCTGCAGTGAGTCAGCATCTAGTCTGCACTGAGCTCACATTTGTATAGTTGTTGTTGCACTACAGCATTAGGTCAGACCACAAGTGTGTTGTTCTTTTACAATAAACAGCAACAATCAGAAAGTGTGTTTGGATTGACAACAACTGTGATGATACATTATAACCTGTTATTAAAGTTCTGCCCCTGCTTTGATCAAATGTGGGTTACTGCTGGTTAGTTAGTGTGACTTCATACAAACCTGTGTGTTACACCAGTGGAAGAAGCTTTCCCTCCATCAGTCTTCTTGTTTCTTACTATAGGGCTGAACAGCTACACTAACACTCTCTGGCTCCATGCTGCCCTCCTGTGGTGACAGTTTGATTTAATGTTTGTGTGAAATGTTAAAAGATACATGTGAAAGGAAAAGGAGCATTTTGACATTTAAGAAGCTGGAGCTATAGTTATTGTTTAAAATGTTTCAAATTTTCAGCACCACAGACAGTGAGAAGCAGGTCTGCGCTCTGTATCATATCTTTATTCGATGTGGATGTGGATATGGGAGAACAAAACTATACAACCTTGGGTTAGGGTAAAGTCTACAGCACAGTTGTTGTCCCTGTATAATATAGTAGTGAGGATTTGTGGACATGTTAACCACATGGGGTAGCTCAGGTAGTAGAGCGGGTCACCTACTCACCGGAAGGTCGGTGGTTTGATCCCAGGCTGCCTCCTGGCTGCATATCAAATATCCGTGGGCAAGATACTAACCCCATGTTTGCCTACTGGTGGTGGTCAGAGAGCCCGGTGGCGCCAGTGTCCGGCAGCCTCGCCTCTGTCAGTGCGCTCCGGGGCAGCTGTGGCTACAATGTAGCTGCCATCACCAGTATGTAAATGGATGGTTGACTGATTGTAGTGTAAAGCACTTTGGGGTCCTTAGGGACTAAGTAAAGCACTATACAAATACAGGCCATTTACATGATGCTCACTTTTCTGCTATTTTGGACATATGGCAATCATTGCGACAATGTAGGATCAAGTCAGTGAGAATGTCAGTACTGCTGTATGAACATCTGACAATGAATATTCCCTCACTGGTTTTGAGTGGTTACTGGAAGATGATGGCAATTGCTAGCAAAATGATTGGTGAAGTCCGCGTCACAGAGGTGCACAAAGAGCTGACCGCTTGGGTGAAAAGTTACACAAAACTCTGGTTCTGCGCTGCTGAGCTCCACTAAGATCTTTGTGAAGAAGGACAAAGTTCTGGTGGCCCACAGAGTTGTGCAGCCTCAGAAACTCTCAAGCATCCCTATCTGAGTTTTCAGCCCAGGGGCTTCACTAGTCTCCTTAAGGTGAGGTATTTTGGCTGGGGCACTTCAGATAGTGCCCAAGCCAAAGTCTTGACAGGAATAAAGCCTCATCCACCAGCATTCCAGTAGCTCCTGAGCAGGGATGGGTATTGATAAGATTTTCACGATTCCAATTCCATTTTCGATTCTGTTTAACGATTCGATTCTTTATTGATTCTCTTATCGATTCTCTTATCGATTCTTTTTTTTTTTTAATAAGGAGAACACTAAGGTCGAATAGCTTAAAACTTTGTTTTATATCTTCTCTTTGAACAAGATAGAAATTTAGGAGTAACATGGCCTTACAAACCCAGCAGTGAGATCTTAAGAGATCCACAGCCTACGTCTCTTCAATGGGGGGTCACAGGGTCCCCAGGAAAAACATTGTAAATGTAAAATAATAAAATAAATATTCTTCTGTAGCAATAACAAAGTATAACATAAATTATTCAGTAGCAATTACACAAGAATATCCAGTAATGTCCCTGCCTACAATTAAACACATTCACTTACTGAAAATCGGGGGCATCTGCTGTGGCAAATAGGTGCAAGCCTTTGACCACAAACTGAGTCACTGCTCCGTGACATTCGTCTATCCTGGTCTGAAAGGAGACGCTGCCGGTAGACTGCAGCGAGAGCTGCCAGCATCTGAGCCAGACTCTGTCTCTCATCATGGTCACTAAACGCACAGTAATGGCAGGTTTGTAATAAGGCAGATCGCGCTAACATAATATGCACTGTTAGTTGATTATTTACCTGCCGCATTAACGGGAGAGGACGTGCAAACGTTACCGCTGCTGCTGGGTTGAGATTCACGAGTCCGGAGCGGAATTAAAAACACGACATTCATTTAAGGTCATCGTGTGTTTTGTGAGCAAATGCTTTTGCATATTCGTAGTGTTTCGTAGTGTTTCCTGCCTTAAATGAAATATCTACCTAAGTATTGCAAGTTGCCCTGTTGTCATCTGTTCTCGTAAAGTATAACCAAAGTTTTGAGCGTTTGAGCCGCCATGTTTCCTGCCAGGTAAATGACGCTCCGCAACGTGGTGACGTCATTCGGGGCGACTGGACTCGATAAGGGAATCGTTTGCAAAAATGCCAAACAATTTCAAGGAATTGAAACAGTGAGAACCGGTTCTCAACAAGAACCAGGTTTCGATACCCATCCCTACTCCTGAGCTTAATATTCCTTCCCCTTGCTTCTGTACCAAGCCATGCAGGCAATTGTGATGATGAAAAAAGAAGAGAGTCCTAAATTGTGCGTGGATTATAGGCAAACCATTAAAGAGGCTTACCCCACCATGCATACAAGGAATGGATGCTTGGTGAGAGATGCTATCTACTGCCAAGCAAGTAGACCACATGTTAAGTATAATATACTTAACATTGATATTTTGCAGATAGACCACCAGAACCCACAAAGGAGCTGTATTTTGTATCCAGAAGGGACTTTTTGAGTGGGATGTGATTTTTTTTTTGACTGTTGTTAAATCTCAGCTCTTTGGTCTTTGGGCTGAAGGAAGAACAACACGCGATGTATAAATGCTCAGTCAACAATCTCTTTATTCCATACAATTCTCATTATTCCATGCAACACTTTTGAGCATTAATCATCCGGAGGGGAGATGTGGACAGGAGGGTGTCCACCAGATCTCGAAGAGTCTGAGCGTTTCTCACATTCCTATAGCTTCAGCCCCCCTCCAAACTAAGCATTCACATTCTTTCTCTCTTACGGCGCCTAAGTGACGGCCTTGGCTTCCTGTTTTATCTCCTCCTGATGAGATGGGGCAGAAAACCTCTACGGTATGCTCTGTTCTCTTCTAATCAGACAAATAAGGCCATGATTCTCTAAAAATAGTGTTTCTTATAACTGAGCAGTATCATGCATCATAAACAATATCATTCATTCACCATAAATCAGCAGTCTAATGTAATACAAATCAGTTTAATAAATGTAGTCGTTTTCCTTTAAGTCAGGAGAATAATGCAAACTAAAGCTACATAATAATTTCACAATCTTTAATTAGGGGTATAACGTGGCATAAGATAATATAATAATCTCACACTGTAGAACTGTGATTTCCAAGTAATATACCTACCTGGAAAAGCCACCAAAATCCAGATGCCCTCTCCAGAAGGCCCTTCATTACTTCATGTCAATCATCGGCTCCAGATCCCAACTTCAGCATCAGCCAGCTCCAGCATTAAGGTATGCAGTGCAACCAAGTGGCTCACCCTACCAACTTAACTCCTCCAGGGCACCCTCTAGTGGTGGTTGTGGAGTCTGACACTACCAGTGTACACCAGTGTGTGGCGGGGGCGTGGTATGCCGTTCCCATACAAAGAATTGCAGTCAACCTGATGTGCATTATTGATGTCATAATAGCCTGTGTCATCTGATTCACAGCACACCTAAAATCTGAATTGGACTCTGCCAACAGGAATCAATCTTATTAACATTATGACATCTCTCTGGGGAGTTAGCTCACACCAGGTTACCACCAAAAGTGGAAGCAGTAATGTGAATAAATGTTTTTCTTTAATAGAACTTAACAAAAGACTTCTAACTACACCCGCTGACTGCACAATTCCTGCTGTCTGTGATGACTCAGTTTCAAATGCTGAGTAGGAAATTAGTTGCTGTGTACCTCATGAAGAAGGAAGTGGTTTCTGTGATCAGCTCTTTGACGCATTCAAGCCACAAAGTCTCTGATCAGATGTGAGAGAGGAACATTAAAAGCATTAAACTTTATTAAGTTTATTTTCTAGCTCATAAGGCCACATTAGTCTGTTGTGTTACGTATCTGCAAGTTTCAGATCACATAACAGCAAAAGAGAAGAAACTACAGCATTTTTAAACACCATTTAGCAATTTTGCTTTATT